CCATCTGTTCCCAGCTGACCTCTTTAGAGAGGGCTAAAGCAGAAAGAAAAGTACTGTCACTTTAGCCCTCGTAGGGTCATCTGTCACTAGTCCCCCTTTCCCACTGAGAATCAAAACTAATATTTCTTCTTGCTTATTAATGAAGCACTTAAAGGTTGATTTATTGTTGCTTTTTATATGCACGGCGCTAATATTTTGTTGGCCGTCCTCAATTTGTCCCCCATGTGTTTGTGCTGGGGTTTTTTTCATATTCCTTCTTATTTATTTGACCTAGTTTTGCATGCTGCTTTCTTTTTGAGGTGATTGGAGAGCTTGTAATTAGGGACCAGCTTGACTCTCCTTGATTAATGACTGAGCCTGGATATCAAGGGAACAAAGCTGGCACTTCAACGTCACACCAGCTCCTTGCCTTCACCAGTGTTTACTCTAGAAAGGTCACAGAGCTGGGCTGTGTGAAGATGAGACAAAACCAGCAATAGGAAAATGTGGAGTTTTAGTTTATCTGTTCTAGAAGTCATGAAATCAAGGACTGCTGCTGCTGTTGTGACTTCTTTCTTGCTTTATGTAGTGTTCCTCCTATACATGTGGAGATCTGCATTGTTTAGATTCTTGGTGATTTCCAAGAAACAACACCTGCCTCGTCCTGTGGGAAAGTATTTTTCAGTTGCCCTGAATGAATTGAAACCTGCCTTTCCAGAGTTTGCTGCTCTTTTTTTTTTTTCCTCAATTTTACCCCCCTTTTCATCACCACCCTTCAAGCTGTTTTCTCCCTTTGTTATCTCAGCCACTTCTTTCTTACCATTTAGAATCAGATCCTGAAGAACTTTCTAAATACTAATTTTCTTCATCTCTATTTGAAAATGTGTGATACCAGCTTTTGAGAACTTGTGATTACTTTGTGTTTCTTGTCTGTGCTGTCCAGACCCTCTTGCATGCATCTATTAATTCCTTCCAAAAAGCCTCCACTGGTAGCTGTCTTTGGGTGATTATTTGCCAGTTCCTTACAATTCTACTTTAAAGATTTTCCTTTTTTTTTTTTCATTTCTTTTTTCTCCCATCCTCACTGCTAGGAAAAACACCTGCACAGGAATGCAGGAAGGCCTGTTTTATGGTGAGGGAAGTCAAAATGAGAATACTGCTTGAGCAGTTTGTAGGATTTCTGTCAGGAATAGCAAGTTTCACAACTGTCAGGAGAGGTTATTCCAGCAGGATATGAATTTAAGGTACAAAAGGTATTCTGGAATTAAGATATGGGGGTTAAACCAGACAAAGGCATCTGTAGAACAAGATTAATAATTCTGTGCTGAAGAGGTAGCTTTCCTGTGTTGTTAAATAAACCTTCAGCATCTTACAGATACAACAAAATTCATTAGGCTGTTGGGGTTTGGAGCAGTGTCACATGGAACAGGAGAGACAGGTTCTCTTTGTCCTCAATTACTGCAGGAACTTTTGAACTCCAAAACACTGTATGGGTAATAATACAAATACACTCTACTTGAAGTTTGTTTAAGAACACAATATTCCCTACAGGTGTACTGCAAAATGCTGTCAGAATGTCACATTAGCTCTAATTCAAAGTACCAGCTGTGGAAGCAATCCAATGCCTGATACCAACTAGAAAACTCAAGTTCTTACTTAACCGAAAAAATAAATCATCTGAGAGTTGTTATTTTTTAAAAGGGGATTAATAAGCCTTTCTGCAACAGGCACTGACAGACCAGAGCCACAGTCCTCAGGTTGTTCTCACCATGACCTGCAGTTCCTCTCGTTTTCCTGTTCTGAGAGCTCTTAAGCACATGCACTTTAAAGATAACCTTGGATTTAATAAGCTGTTTGCAGCCTGTGAAAACAACACTTGATTCTGTGGTAAAACCCTTTGCTCGTGAAAATCCCCCACGCTTCTGATACATCCAATCCATATAAGTTAAAAAGGCAAACTCCTACAAGGATATTCTGAGGCACTCCTGGTTTAAAACATGAGCTTTGTGTTCATAAATGTTTTAGAGTATTTCCTGTAATAAAGATTAAACTGTCTCTCAGGAAGTAAAGCTGCAACACGTGCCTCTGACAACGTAATCGAACTTTATATAGCAATGTTTTTATTGTTTTCCTTTTGTTTTGCTCTTAGATGACTAATTTCTGACTAGTGACAGCAAGAGTTGCCATCTGAGGGGCCGCTTGGAGCTTCATTTCTATTTTAAGCATATTTAAAGCACATGTATTCACAAGTGTCATTATGTAAATCAGTTTTGAAAATTGAACTCCATTAAAAATTATAGTGTATCATTTTCTGAGCTAATCTGAGGCTATTTTAATATCAGGAGTGAAACACCCCCACAACCAAAACCCAGGTTTGGGGGCAGAGTGGCACTTCTACCTCAGATGTTGTAATTGATGTGATAATATGGTTATAAAATGATGTCTTGTATTTTTAATGGAGCAAAACGTTTGCTCTTCTTTGATTTGGAAGATCCACTGAGGTGTTGTATTACCTGGAAACCAAAGTTCAGAGTGGAGTCCAGCGTGAGGAATGAGGCTTTGGCAGTGATGAAAGTTGATCCCCAGTGTTGGACACTTAAGGTTTGGCTGGACAAGGTGCTTTGGCTGAGAAAGGTTGGACCAGATGATCACTGAGATCCCTTCCAACCTGGTGTTCTGTGGAAGGAACTTGATATTAAAAAAAGAGGCCTAACAAGAAAATAAATACTTCTGTAGCTTAAAGAAGACTCTGCATATAAAGCAAAGTGGTGGTGGTTTGTTTTTGTGGGGGCTTTTTTGGTTTTGTTTTTAAATACTACCCTGAGTATTGAAGGGGTTTGAAGTGTAGTTGTGGTGTTGTGGAATTGCTGTAATGCCATGGGTTTTCTTGAGTACTAACAAGAGGAAGCCAAAAAGTTTCTCATTTTGCGCTGACTTGTTTCATTCATCTGCTTTAAAAAAAAAAAACAAACCAAAAAAAGGCTTGAACTTCCCCTGGCAATAGTCTGACAGTTGGGGAGAGTTCACTGGAACACAGGCTTTGTAGAGTCTGGTGTGACTTGGGTAGGGAGCACTGAAAATGAAGGGACTGGATGTTGTTTCTTTGTAGTTCCTGGGATCCTGGGGACTTCAGTTCTCCTCCGGAGCTTAGAGGAATAAAGGCTCTTATTACGGTTTCAACTCAGTTTCTTTTGGCAATGTAAGTTATCACTTTCTGCAGAGCCCTAGAAGAAGCCATTTAAAAGTACGGTTTTAAGTACCTTTTTCTTAAGTGCAGTTTAACATGTGTTGCAAACGCCCACCTGCAACTCCTGTGAGCAAACGTTTCTCAAACCTTGATTTACAGTGCGAGCTCTGAGAGGTGGCCCTTTGGAACTGGAATAAAGCTGAGCAGTCATGCAGGTGATGAAATTCTGGCCACGACAGGAAGTGATTCAGTATTTGAAGTACAGATATCTAATGCCATTTCAGATGTCCTGACCTCCAGTGGTGCACCAGGCACTCCCAGGTGTGCCTGACCTCCAGCTGCTATTCCAGGCCCTGGATCTTGCCCATATATCTCACTTCTGCACATAATTTGGGTGCTGTGAAGTGTCTAAAAGGGCACTATCACCTAAGTTGAGACCTGTGAAATGCTGAGTGTAGTGTTTATTGTTTTGGGTAACACAAGGAAAGGGGGGAATCTGCTTTGTTTTAGTCTGGAGCTCCATGCAGGATCTGTGTAAGCATTGAAGCATCTTCGGTGGCCAAAGTCAGTATTTTCAGGCAAACGAAAAAGCCAAAAACCAGAACACCCTTCAGCAGCTGAAATCTCAAATTTATTACAATGTTCCTTTTTTATAAAAAGCCAAACTGTGTAGGAATAGGCAAATTTGTTAAAAGGGAAATGAAAGAAACAGTTAAATTCAAAATGTTTCAGGGGGAGTGTTTGAAAACACGATGTGCAAAATGTCCTTCAGCCAAAGGGCTGAGACACACACAGACCTGTTGTGATTAAACAATTAAGCAAAGAGTTTTGTTACTAAAAAAACCCTTTTTTAACAACGACAGAAAAAATCTAAACAAAAAAAAGGGGCGGGCTGTAGGCTTTGGCAAGTTAAACGTAAAGCAGTAGTGAATTAGGCTAGAAGTGGTCTTGGGGAGTAATTGGAAGACATTGAATCTAATAATAGTGATAGTAATGGCTTCAACCCATCAGAATCAGCCTTCTCAGAAGATCTGTAAGGCTGATAAATGATCAGGACCTGAAGAGCTGTCAAGGATGATAAAATAGTTATAGAGGAGTAAATGAATTATTTGCATTGGTATTTATTGGGAAGGATGTTAGGGAGGGTCACTGCTATAACCATTTATTACAGTGATGGACATAGCAGAGATAAGAAGCTTTCAAATAGGTTTTCTTCTCGATTTGGGACAATTCAGGTTAAATTTTAATCAAGATGCTACTGGAACAGTCCTATTTTGTATTAATGCAAATGATTCAGCTGGAATTTGTAGGATGAACACAAAATATGATGATTGGATTTCTTCCGGATCTTAGTGTACAAGTCTAGAGAACAAAATTGATGTGTATGAGAAATTAATACAGCACATGTTTGATCAAAAAAAGAAAAGTAATTCAAAAATAATGTACTCATTCATGATCTTTTAAGTATATTGTGAATCACAGCTGTTGAAAGCCAGCAAAGCTTGCACTAATTACCTAGGGTTATTCCTTTTTTTCGGTTTTAAACTTTCTTTCCCTAGAATATGCTTAATATTAAGTAGTACTTGTGAGTGATTGTGGAAAGAGGTTCCAAATACACTCGTATCCTTTATGAATTTTCATTGCCTACTGGTTTATTTGTCGTTAGTTTCAATTTTGGAACAGCTTTTTTTTTTCAGTACTTTTATTGCAGCATTAGAAGCAGCTTTTATTAGACATGAGATGTAGAAAGTTGGCAATACAAATATGGATTGTTTACCTTTCTAGATAAACTTGGTCTTATTGTAAATCTCTTCCCAACCTTTGTTCTTACCAGGGAGAAAGAACAAGAAACACAAGAAGAGGAACATTTGATGGAAGAAAAGAAAAAGAAAAAGCAGGAAGAAAAGAAAAAGAAGGAAGGTGCTCAGAAAAAGGTTTGTTCATGTTCCTGTTGTAAATGAGCCCTTCACTCCTAAGAGTAACCTGCAGGTGTCGATGGATTACACTGTTTGTTTTGATTTTAAAAAGGAATCGATCACTGTCTTTTCCTGTATAAAAATTAGGCATCGTAAAAAAAGTGGGGTAGGTTCCAAACAGATAAAAACTTCACAGGTTTTGTGTCTAAGCCAACAGTGTGTGCGGATTCAAAGGGATGGTGGACAAGTTCACAGAAGTTACTTCTGCTGAGTGTTAAAAAGTTCACAAACATAATGTTTGGTTCAGAAAGCCTCTGTTTCTCAAGAGAGAGAACACTAGATGGGTAGATGGGGTCACTGCCATATCCCTTGCCATACTTTATACTGTCTCTTTGGCATCTGCTTTTGGCATCAATCAGACAGAGGTAGCCATTCTTACATTTCTAATACGTGGAGTTGAATTGACATTCTCCAGTTCTTAACTGGAACTAATGCCTGATTTGTGTAAGGACTTCCTGCACAAAGTTAGGCCTGCAGCCCTATAATTATTAGGTATAATTTTGAGTATTGACAAATAGTTGATTTGTTTTGTTCTTTTCTTCTTTCAGGCTGCTGAACAAAAAACCAAAGGTAAATTCACGTTTATTCTTTGTGAACCGTTTGATATTTTTATGAGCTTGTTTAAAAAAGGAGTGCTTCTGCTTTTCATTCTTTGTGTCTGTTTATTGGGGAGAGTATATATATATAACAGAACTAGGATAGTTCTGTTCCTAAAGTTTTGTTGGAGGATCTGACTATATGTTGGGTTTCTCAGCTTTTGCTTATGTTGCTGTGTATCCTGTAGCAGCTTTTTGACAAGAATATATGGATTAATTTTCTCTTTTTGTCTGGTCTGCCCTTTGGTTTACATGGCAGCACACAAAACTCAGGCTGTGGAACAGTTCTGAACCAGTTAATATGCACTGTTATTTATTGCTGGGTAATTAGGTGACAGACAGGCAAGTGGAGCTTCCCAGATTCCCAGAGACTGGGAATTAGAGAAGAGCCAAGCCTAACATAAGGGATCAACTAAGCAACTTATGTTTCAAACACTTTTCATGTATTTATACAGCAGAAATTAAGTATTGCCTCAGTAATACTGAATTCAGAAAAATAAAGACCTGACTACCTGATGAAGACTCTGTAACAAGTAATTTATTGAAACTCTGTCCTTTTCTTTCCAAGTTGTTCCTATGTAGAAAGTGTGAATTCAGGAAGTTTAAGTTTGAATTCTGTTGCATCTGCCCTGTGAGATCTCATGCAGTTTATAACAGTGGATTTTGCTTCCAGAAGGCAGCAAAAGTAGCTAAATCCCACCAAGTCTTAGGCACATAAAAAACCCTTGGAATTAAGATGCATGAGAGCGATTTCCAGCTAAATATAATGTTTCTGTTTCTGCAGTATTGCATGTTTTGTTCTCTGTATCAGCTCATTTCTGTGCAAAAAGATTTCTCTGTTCTATAATGGATTATAATGACTTTTTAATATCACAATTCAGTGGCAGATGTTTTTGCTGTCAGAGTAACTGCATCCATTTTCACGTGCTAATGCAGTGGCTCTTCATTTCTGTTACTAGTGAGACTCGGTGCCTTCTGCTTTGCCTCTGTGGGATGTTACTATTTCTGTCTCTTGTTGTGACAGCTTTGCTTTTAATTGCTCGAAACTGCCAGGTTTAAGTTTTTAGATAATAACTTCAGTTTTTCAGGTATGCTTGGGAGTTTGTTTCTTTCAAGTATTTTTGGTCCGCTCTCCTCGTATTTAATCATCCTGTGCTACTGCTATAAAATATGAACTGGGAAGAAGACAACAGTGAATAAAGGTAGTTATCTTCGAGATTAAGTAGTTTTGGCATTTATTGCTTCATCTGTCAGAAGCAGTGATGCACCTTTTTGTAGTTCAGCGTCCTTGGAAGGAGTTGATCTGTCCTGCAGAGAAACAAAACCTCCTGTTCATCCTCAGGGCAATGGCCAGGGGTTATTTACAGTCCTTTAAGTGACCCTTCTTTGAATTTCCTTTGTCTGACAACTCACTCATTTCTTTTAAGGTTGCTCTGTGGGAATGCTTTTCCACTTCTTGGTACAGTTCCTTACATTTATCTGTAGGAGGGATGTGCACAAGCTTATGATAGGTAGCAGGAATTTCCTAAAATATGGAAAATATTAATACAAAATTAAAGAGAGGATAAAGTTGACTGAACCTTTTTTTCCTCAGATATTCAAAGTTGACTGTAAACTTTATTGCAGTGCTGCACCAACTATTTTATTTGGATACATTTTCAAGGTTGAGTGACAAATGCTGCTACAACTAAAAGGCAACCACAGGGATTATCATTGAATTTAATTAATTTATTTCCTATCTGGGACACAGTAATTAAATTAGTTGTAAAGACAGGATGACACAGTAACACTGAGTGGACTGCATCAGGTATCACATGGCAGTGGGCAGGATGTATTAAATCAGAGATTAAAACTGGGCTGAAACTGAGCATTTTGCAAAATGTAGATTTTGGTAGGTGAGATATAAATATGACTTAATGTAGCTGCTTGTGGTAACTTAAAAGAAAATTGCTTCATTTTATGCATGTGTCATTCAGTTCTGCAACTGGGTTGCCATAGCAGTGAGAAGTGCTTGCACCAGTTGGAGAAAATAAACCACACAACTGGAAGTGGGATATTAAAGGGTTTTTCAGTTTGTTTTTCGGCTGATTGGAGACAGTGTGTTTATATTGTTCCCTGTTCGCTCTCAGCAGCGTTTGTGAAGGAAAAGACACTTTGTTGAAGTGGGTTGGAAGGGCTGAGCTTGGGAGTTGATAGCGAGGGAGGGTTTACCCTTCGGGGGTGTGCTGGAAGCCTGTGCTCTTATCAAGGTGCTTTTTAATTCTTTTTAATTAGTAGTAAGATTAATAATTAATAGCAAGTAATAGTAAGGTTTGCATTTATTTGTCCAGCACAAAGGCAGATGTGGAGATGTGTCCCATCTAATAATGAGCTCGTTTGCTTTGTACACGAGCTCTGATCTCTGTAAGCTGAGATGGGGCTGTTGCATGTTCAGTCTCTGGTGAGGCCTCAGGAAAGAGAAACTAGTAAGGAGGAAGGAGGTTTCCTGTGGGGGTGTGTGTGTGGTGTGTTGTCAGTTCAGTATTGCCCTGAGGCCTCAGCCCGAGCTGAATGTTTCCATTTGTGATGTGGAGCACAAACCCCTTCCAAAATAAACACACATTTCCACCCACAGAGGAAAGGTATGTGGCTGCTGCTGGAGTTACTGGTCCAGGGGTAGGAAGTGCTCCCTCACACAGCTCTTGCATCTATTTAAACAAATTATTTTTTGCTGTTTAAACAACGATCCAACCCTTTAAATCTTCTCTACATAACAACTCCTTCATTTTCTATTTTTTTTTCCTGCAACGTTGTTTGCCAAAATATTTTTGTGAGGCTGAATCTTTTATAAATACCCCGTTGGCAACAATTCTAGGGAATGTGTGAAAGGAAGAAAGATTGAAGAGCTGATAAGTAGCTGAAATGTTTCTCAATTACTTGAGAACAAATGAAAGTAGTCTTCCTGTTCAGCTGAAGAGGAGCGCTGCAGAATTAGATGAGGTGAAATGAGCAGGTTTTTATTGCACATCCACGTTACTGTTCTTTTATGGTAATTTTTTTGAGAACAGGACTATTGAGCACTGGCTATTAGTGTTTATTTTGCATGTGTAAACTCGTGCCAGTTTATATGGACTTGATAAAGAAACTTGGTGTATAAAGGCTTTTGTAATGAAAACATTCAGCTGTAAGTACCAATAAGAGTTCTGTTCTGTATGGTAAATAGTCACTAGTATGGGAAATGGCTGTTATTTAATAACTACAGGGGACTTTAGGGGAGCTGTGCTCAGGATAAATAGTATGAGGTCAGTGTGTTTTGCTGCCTGCTTCTCTTCCAGCCATCCTGCTGCAGGTGTAGTTGGCACACAGGTGATCAGTTCCTTGGCTGCTTTACTCACACCCCAGCTGATTACACTTTGTCTAAAGCAAAGTTGAAGTGCTGATATAAAATAGTTTAAGTGGGTTGTTACTCAAACATCCACCATGGTGATTGAAAAGGCAAAGTATCCATCCAGGTCTCCAGCATTATTACCTCTAATGAAGGTAAGTGTTGAATCTGCAAACAGAGAGTTGAGTCTATACCACTTTTAGTTTTAAGTAGGAAACCAATATTTGATTAGAAATCTTAATCTGGACAATATTTCTGTAAAAGCAGAGATGGCCAGTCTGCCTCTTGGACCTTCATGATCCTTGTAGGTCAGTCTTTGGCCTGTTCATGGCATGGGAGCAGGAAGAGAGGTGTGGGCTTTCCAAGGGGAAAATGGGAACTTCAGCTCACTGCTTGTGAAGCAGGATTGCAGAAGCCAGAGTAGCTGCAGTAATCCTGGGATTCAGCAGCTCATCCAGCACTGCCCACCCTCTGTTAAAGGGGTACAGTGAATCTTGAGCATTGTTCCTTTCCACCCATGGTCTGTTCTGGAGTTTTCCCCCTCCCAGGCTGTCTGGGCCGTGTGTCTTGGGACTCTTCACCGTGTCATGATTTTAATCAGGAAGGTTGCCTGCAGACTAGGAGGTTATTCTACCAGGGTTTAGGCTTTAATATGTTTTATTTTGAGGGACTTAAAAGAACAGAAAGCACTTAGCAGTATGTGGTTGCTTGGTAGACCATTGTGATGTTGCAAATGTTGGCATACTTTCTTCAGGTTAGCTTTAAAATTTGCATAGCATTTTTTTATCCCACAAACAGTGCTGTGTATTTTACCTGGAGCACCATGGTCAACTGTATTATAAAGGGGAGTTAAAGGGAAAAAAGAATGGATGAATATATCTGAAATACCATCCCCTGCTCTGGCATTTCTATTTAAATGACAGGAATAGTGGCATACCTGTCTTAAAAGCCAGGCATTTCCATTTCCAAATTAGCCATGTAGATGGTTGCATAGTTTTAAATTGATTCTTTACTTACCCTCCCCAAATGGGCTGTTAGAATGTTCTCTATTGGGCTCATTTGGATGTGAATCACCTTCCTGTAACCTCCATTCTCCTCATACAGAAATGCAGTTTGTGTACACTGATAATGTGCTCTTTCTGGCTGTGATAGATGTGACTGATGTTTAATGGTAGTTCCATAGAAAATAGGGGAAAATGAAACTTTTTAGAGAATTTCATTGGTATTTTAGGTGGAATTATGTGTGTAACACAATTAGTCTTTTTTTAAAAAGTAAAGTCTTGAGCTTTTCTGGTTTGTGTCGTATTATTGTAGGAACCAGCAGAGGCTTTTTCCATAAGATTAGAAAATGTGTTCCAGCCTACAAATCAGGTATGATTTTCAACAGATTTACAACCTCTGACTCATTTGAGTATTTATAGCTTATGCTTGAATATCTGCCTCTGCCATCTTGTTAGTTAAGTGCTGTGTTTGTACTGAACTGCTGCACATTGTAGTGACAAAATGTGCCATAAATCATCATTGCAGAAGGAGGGGGAGCACTGCAGTAAGTTCTTCAATTAGATCTTAATATGCAGTCACTTGATAACTTAATGATAACCTGTGGCCAT